TATAGCTAAACTGGGCAATAATGACTTCTTGGAACTGAAAAAACAAATATTGTCTAAATGCAAGAGACTTGTGTATTCTTACTTGAATCTTTGTGTGCTTTGTATATGTCTTCCAGATCGGTGCAGTAATTCAGTGTGAAATATTCCCTTTGTGCAGGAACTTCCTGTAATAAAGACTGGTCTCTACTGTGGTTTCTCTTTGTGCAGGGTGACCGGTCTTGTCTCCGCCCCCTCTTGTAGTTTTCTGCAGGCAGCCAGTATTTGGTGGAGCCTTCTGGGCCCCTCCCACAGCTCTGTTCTCTGCACGGCTATGTAAAGCACAGCGATCTTCTTACATCTAGCAGCTACATTTACAAGGTAATATCTTGGTTTGGAACACACAAGTACATTTATATCCTTGGCAATTGTGGAATACAGATTAGTAAAAGTTTTGATTCCAGATATCAGTGTTAAATGCTAACCCCACCTTTCTTACCAAGTTACTGTACATGTTACGCTCATATTTAGGGTTCTGGGTATCATGGTTCTGAGGTGCCTCCACCCACAGCAGGATTTCGGGGTTCTTCTCCCCAGTAACTACTGGTGCTTTCTGAATTTTGCGCAGCCATACACAGCCGTGTCATTCATTCATCTGTGAATGAATCAACTACAAATGCCATCCGCCATCATGGCAGCAGGACTTGTAGTTCTTAATGGAACAGAAGTCTGGTGATCACCACACTTGTAGTCCACTCACACTTCTTTCAACCCTGTAACCAAAGGTCCATTTCTTAGTACAGATCAGCTGTTGCACAAAGGCAGGCCATAGACGGGCCGTTTATCGACCGAATTTTCGACCGATAAACGAGAAATCGGTCGGCCCCGTTGCCGATGCTGCCACCCATGTCCGCGAAAAACGTCCGTTTTTTGTGGATTTTCCTGCATGACCGATAAAAATAAATGAGGAGATCCGCGAAAATGGCCGACTATCGGCTGATTTTTCGTGCCTGGTGCCTATTTAGCAGTATTAAGCCGGCTAACGTTGTGGCCCTGTAAGGTGGTACACATGAAGATGTCCCTTTAAGACCGTACACAATGGATGACTGATGGGCTACTAAGTACAGAGCAGTCTGTATTGGCTTTAACTATAGGCAGTAATGGGATAAACACAGTTGGTTCTGCTCACCACTCAATGAATCTGATCTGCAAAGACTCAGTCTCTCAGCTCTGTTGTAGGCACAAACACCTCCAATGTCTGCTAAGCAATGGTTCCAGCACTCTGGAGTCCAGTCCTCAAACCGGTCCTCAGTGGCTCTGGCCGAGCTCCCAGATCTTTTTTCTTTTTCGCAGTGGAAGTGCAGACCAATGCAGCAACAGGTCTGAACTTTTCCATTCCCTGGGCAGCACTGCCCAGACCTCCGCATATTTGCCTGGGAAACTCTGCTCTCTCCTCCTCTGATTGCAGGTTGTGCCTGGGTATTGTAGTTCTCCAGCCCATCTACCTGCACTGAACAGCACTCTTTACAAACTACAGTTCCCAGTATTCTTTGCAGCCACTGTTAGTTCATCATTGGGGAGGGAGGATGAGCATTGTACTAATCATCCTCCTACCTTGTGTACCGCCACTGCCACCAGGAGGGGAGGGAGGCCAGTGGGGGATCTGACACAGCTCACAGCACAGCCGCTCAGTAACACAATGGTGGGGGAAGAAGAAAGGGAGAGTAGGCACCGGAGTACACAGCCCGCTCCTCCAGCCGGCAGAACACCTGCCTACATAACTTTTTGACGTTGCACCTGAAGCCTTTGTTGGATGCTGAATAGTAAACATGTTAGTTTGGGTCAAAGTGGGAAAGATTGCGGCAGGGATGTCAAACTCAATTTCATCATGAGCCACATCCACAATTATGGTTGCCCTTGAAGGGCCAGTTGTATCTGTAAGACTAGATGTCCAGACCATTCCCTCCCCATCTTTACATCAGATGTCAAGAGGCCTTCCACCATCGGGAGTCAAGAGTCCCCCACCCTCCATTATGTCACAGTGCACCCCCAGTTTCTTCTGGTTGGGATCCACCCAGATGCCTGAGCCAGCACCTCCACAGCCTAGTGCTCAAGTGAGAGCTGGAGGGGCAGAGCAGAATGCTGGTGACTGACAGTCAGGGCTCTCTGCTCAGAGGGGAGTTAGAGAACTGAGCGATGAGCAACGTTTGATCACTCAGTTCTCAGTGCAGAGCCGACGGGAAACTTATACAGATCTATGGCTCATTCAGATAGGTGAGTATAAGGCCTCTTGCACACAGGCATTGAAAATAGGTGCTTGAGTGACGCTTTTAACGCTTTACAAATGCCTATCAATGCCACTCAAAATTGTCACAATAGGGAGCAGAGGGAGGTGTTCACACTGCAAAGTTAGTGTTGCATTGTGTTGCGGAGAAGCAAAAAGTTGCAGAGTTTGACAGGCATTGACACTTTGCAACTGCTTCCATTCACTTCTGTTGAAACGTACCACAACCACCCATGGTGTTTACAGTAGATTTACAGTGCCGTTGCAAAGCGTCAGAAGCAATCATTTCCTATTTTAGACTTGTAGAGAAAACAAAAAGAAAACAACATACAGGACGTTAGAGAAATGTTGTGTGAAGCAGCATGAATGCCTGGACAACACATCCTAAATGCTCATTAACTCTATAGGTGCATTACGGAGCTTTTAGGCTGCTTTAAAATGTAATGCCAGTGTAAAAGAGCACATCATTTTATTTATTTTATTAAAGTCCATACTTCTCTTAAAAGTGGCGTTTGTGACAGTGTACGTTGATTCACAGTTCTAGAAAATTCCTATACTGCCATCTTGTGGTAATATATTTGCTTTTCACTTCATAATAATTTGTACAGGTGTGTATAGCCCATCTTGCCATTTTACAATGATGTCATATATTAATAGCATTAATAGTGCGTTTTACAGGACATTAAAGCAGAGTTCCACCTAAAATAAATAAATAAAAGTCAGCAGCTACAAAAACTGTAGCTGCTGACTTTTAAAATACAGACACTTACCTGTCCCTCGGTCCAGCGGTGTCCTCACCACCGCTGGTTTCACCGGCCGTCTTCTCTCCCTGGCACCGGCATCTTCATTGTGGGCACCCGGCTGTGACAGCTTGCAGCTTCACAGTTGGGTGCCCACTGTGCATGCGTGAGAAGCGCTGCGCTTTGTGAATGGCCCCCTAGTCTTCTGCGATCTGTCACGTGTCCCAGAAGACTAAGGGGAGGGGGGGATACCTTCCGTTTCCGATCGCCTAGGTGATCGCAGCGGAAGTGGGAGCGGGTACCTGTCAAATTCGGGTACCAGCTCCCCCCCCCAAAGGTGCCAATCCTTAATGGGGAGCGGGGGACAAAGGCTTAAAGCGGAACTTCCCCTTTTGGGTGGAGCTCCGCTTTAAGACCGGGTTCACACTAATGTGGTGCCATAAACGCTGTGAATCCTGTGCGTTTACCGCACTGCATTGCACTCACATGGCGTTCATGCAATCTTGTGTAGGTGTCAATGTTAAATTAACCCCTTGGCACCAGCGCCTCCTGGCCCTTTAAGGGTTCCAGAAGTTGGGAGGCGGGCGAGGGTTTAGGGTCACGATTGGGAAAGGTTCTGATCGCAAGAGGAGATCGGGACCTTTCCATGAGTACCGAACGTGTGTGCTGGGAACGAGCAGGGCGCAGACAACGGGAGGCCGCACATTTGCGTTCGGCCGGTGCCAAGAGGTTAATGACATCATGAAACAGATAGCAAAACACAGTGCGGTTGCCGGAAATCGCATTGAATGTCTGAGAACACCCATACGATGCGCTTCAGGTGAGAGTAAAAAAAGGGTCCTGCACCTTTTTGGTGCAGAAATGATGCAATTTGAGCCATCACTTGGTTTTATACACCTGTGGCCATGGAGATGATTGGAACATCTGAATCCAATGACTTGGAGGAGTGTCCCAATACTTTTGGCAATATAGTGTACATTGTATACATCCTTCTGGATCACTGGGAAATAGATGGAGTGGGACTCCAGCCTGGTCATATTTGTTTTTTCTTCACTACCCTACTTCACCATATTTTCTCTTTGCTTCTCCCTGTGCTTACTCTGGAACAGGTTGATCCTTGCATTACCCAATACATGTCAATACATATTCTAACATCTGAAGCAAATGTGGCTTGACCCTGGATAGTCATTACTAAAACTTGGAAGAAAACTTTGTAAAGCTTTTTTTTTATATTCACTTACTATTTTATGACCCAGACTGTGTTTTGGAGATCTATCATGCACTCATTTTGTCTCGCAGATATTTTTCTGTAATCTACATTCTGACAAATGTACAATTCCTGTACATTTGATTGTGTGTTCCTTCCTTGGAAAACAACAAAAACTATTGAAAACAAAGATGTATTATTTTTTTCAGATCTTGATGACTTCTGTAATGTGCAAGGTAAAGCAACATTGCAATTTATTCTGCATGCCTAACCACTTGCCTACAGGGCACTTATACCCCCTTCCTGCCCAGGCCAATTTTCAGCTTTCAGCGCTGTCACACTTTGAATGACAATTGTGTGGTCATGCAACACTGTACCCATATGAAATTTTAATCATTTTTTGAGACAGATAGAGCTTTATTTTGGTGGTATTTAATCACCTCTGGGTTTTTTATTTTTTGCTAAACAAACCAAAAACAACTGAAAACTTTGAAAAAAAATTTTTTTCTTAGTTTTTGTTTTAAAATTGTGTAAATAAATTATTTTTCTTCTTCACTGATGTGTGCTAATGAGGCTGCACTGATGGGCACTGATAGGTGGCACTGATGAGGAGGCACTGGTAGGTGGCACTGATGGGCATTGACAGGTATCCCTGATGGACACTGAAAGGCAGCACTCATAGGTGGCACTGATAGGCGGCACTGACTGGCACTGTTAGGCGGCACTGATAGGCAACACTGACGGGCACTGATAGGCAGCACTGACTGGCACTGATAGGCGGCACTGACTGGCACTGATAGGCGGCACTGATTGGCAGCACTGATGAGTGGCACTGACTGGCATTGATAGGTGGTACTGACTGGCACTGATAGGTGGCACTGAAAGGCAGCTCAGATGGGCACTGATATGTGGCATTGATGTGCACTGGTAGGCACTGATATGTGGCATTGATGTGGCACTGACAGGTGGCATTGATGAGCACTGACAGCTGGAATTGATAGACACTGACAGGTGGCAATTCTGGGGCTACACTGATCATCAGGGCACATGTCCCCTCGATTACCGGCTCTCCTCTCAAGCTGTCAACAGTTCATGAGGAGAGAAATGTCGATAACCGGTATTTCCTTATCTACATGCGATAAGCTGTGATTGGACACAGCTGATCACATAACTGATCCGACATCTTCGACTTTTTCCGTTGATCGGTGATCTGCTGTGTCCAAGGGACACAGCGCACCACCGATTGCCGTGCTGCGCACCCCCGGAGCCGCACACGCGCGGTTAGAGTGGGAGGACATCATATGACGAGAGAACCGGCTTGCGCCCCTCATTTCCTTATATGACGGGTGGGAGGCGTGTAAAGAAAAACTCTTAGATGATATGGGGCTACCACTGCTAAGTTGTTTTCAAATGTGTACGCCTTAGGGCTCATTCACACCATACGTGCATGAAAACTGATGGGAACTGATGCACAGAATTCACTTGCAGAGACATCAGTTTACATCAGTTTTCATGTGCATTTCAATGAGTTTTATGCAAGTTGCAAAACCTGTACATGATACTAGTATTGTGGAGTGAACAGGGCACATAGATAACAATTGTTTTCATTTTGCCCCTGCAGAACAAATGCAGAAAAACTCACATCTCTGCACCATGGTGTTACCGAGGCCTTAGGCAGCCCATAGATCAGGTTTTTTTTTTGTTCAACCAGTGGGTTGAGTGAAAAACTGACTTGATGTGGATAAGGGAATTCTCCCTGCTGAGCTAATGTATTCTGATGGCAGGGAGACTTACCCACCGCCAGAATACACTGATCAGCGCTGCCAGCTATAGCCGACAGTGCTGATTGAGTGGGCGAAAATCTGACAAGGCATTTCTACAGAAGTTGATCAGTTGACAGACTTCTGTACAACCTCTGTGTCCATACATGGATCAACATTTGGCTGGTTCCCGCTGAACAGACCAAATTTCGATCCTTGTATGGCCAGCTTTAGAGCTTACATCACTATCTACCTAGCGAGTCACTTTTTAGTATTGACAGCCCGATGAACCTTTGCAGACAAATCAGTACAGTCAGCTTTTTTATACTTCTCTGGTAGTTTACTTTTAAATGCATTTATAAGAATCTGAATATTTTATATAACTATATTAATATTTTATATTATATATTTTATATGATTACAACTATATGAGCTTATTTCTGGAAACATTGTCATAGGCACCTTATTTGAAATCTTATTAAACCCAGGACCCTGTATTCACTATATCTGGTTTCACGCAGTACACAGAACATGGAAATGCAATTGTTTTTAGTAAATATAAACTGCTAAATACCTTTTATCAGCAGTATATAGCATTCTTGTGACTTCTATCAGTGTCCAGCCGAGCAATAGTTAAAGCTTGTAGGAGGAGTTTTCATTCTCCTCTGACTGTCCTATGAGGCTGCATAACCCATCACCCTCTATCTGGACAGTGCTGTTTGGCCCAGTGCTGATCAAATGCACTCTACCCAAAAAAAAAAAACAACTCTCTAGCAATACACACCAAACTGAGCATGTGCAGAGTGTCTCCTAGGGCTCATTGCTGTGCACATTTTGGCAGTTTTCAGGCAAAATAAGCAAAACTAAATTGGGGGTGGGGGACATAAATATTAATAAATTACTGTATGACAGAAAACTACAATTCTTGTATAAGTCTTTTTGTAACAGGTTCTCTTTAAACTTCAAAGCTGCCAAAAATAAACTATTCAGTTTTGGGTGAACCTCTTAGGCATGGGTCCTAATGGGAGAGTAAAACCACCAACATACATCAGGCAACTCCCAGTCCTGTTTTGTATATATGTGAATATAAAAAAGGAAACCATACTAGCAATATACTGTGTCAGCCATTGACAAATGCAAAAATTTGTTGGAGTTTCAGTGATGTCCTTTACTGGCTAACTTAAGTTGTTAAAGGTGCAGGCATTTGGGATAAATTATGGACTGAATGAACGGAAACAAAATAATTCCTCCATCCACACAAAAAAGGGGGATGGAGAAATCCCCCTCCCACACTGGAATGTTGTATTTTGAGGAGGACCACCACTGTCAGAATACACTGGTCAGCAGAAACAGCTCATTGGCTGCAGCCACTGATAATAGAGAAATTTCCAACTTGCCACTTCAACAGAAGTCAAACTTCTGTCGAGAAGGAATGGTTGCTCACTAATCAACATTTGGCTGGTCCCTACTAAACTAACCGAATTTTGTTCAGTGTATGGCCAGCTGAAGATTTCTTCTTCAGGCTTTACACAAGAGGTTTTATGGCAAGAAGTAAACCCCTAGATAAACAAGTATGAGTGTCATGGAACTCTGCATAGCATACTTCTGGGCAAGACTATCACTGAGGTTGGTTCACACTTATGCATGCGTGTTTACCTGGCCCGGATTTGGCCCAAAGGGCATTCATGTCCTAACCAGGGCTGGCAAAAGGGGGCAGCTGTGCTGTCCCTGATTTTCCTCTGCAACTTCGGCCGCCAGCTCTGTGGCTTCTCTGAAGGCCAAAGTGGTTGATGATGATTTATGGGCAGCTGCACTACCCAGGGCCTCTCTCTCTTCACTTCACAGCTTTTATGCAGCGTACATGGAGTAGCGAGGTAAGTAGAGAGCACTGAAACCGATGCCCCTCCCAAGTCCTTTCTCCACTGTATACTAAAAGCTGCCGGAGGTTAAGAAAGAGGGTCAGGGCAGTGCAGATTGCTATAAATATCATCAACCCTATTGAACCAGCTACACAAGATTGCGTTCTCTGTAGGCTCCACTGCTGCCACCGGAGAGGCCACAGCAGGCTGAGAAAAGGAGTGGAATGGTATGGGGTATTCAACAGTTTGCAAAGATGGGGGGGTTACATAAGATGCAGAGAAATACTGGGAATTGCAGGGAGTACAGAAGTGTTTTGGAAGTACAGAGATGTGCAGAGGGTATAGAGGGATACAGGAGGAGAGCAAAGATGTGCAGGGGAGTACATTGGGATAACGGGCGATACAGAGACTTGCTGGGGGTAAGAAGATGTGTTGGGGGGAGGTGTGCTGGGTGTACAGAAATGTGTTGAGGGACAGAGTAGTCATCTGCTGTAATCTCAAGCAACCAATCAGTGAGCAGTAATGATGTGTGGTAATCTCTAGCAACCAATGGGTGACCAGTAATGATGTTTAGTTACCTCTACCAACCAGTTAGCAGTAATGATAAGCAGTAACCTCTAGCAACCAATCAGTGAGCAATAGCAATAGCCTCAAGTAACCATTCAGTGAGCAGTAATGATGTGTGGTAACCTCTAGCAACCAATGGGTAAGTGGTAATGTTGTATAGTAACCTCTAGCAACCAGTGAGCAGTAATAATGTGCAGTAACCTCTAGCAACCAATTAGTGAGCAGCAATAATATTCAGTAACCTCTAGCAGCCAATCAGTGAGCAGTATAATGTGCAGTAACCTCTAGCAACCAATCAGTGAGCAGTAATAATGTGAAGTAACCTCCAACAACCAATTAATGAGAGGTAAGGATGTGCAGTAACTTCCAACAACTGATCATTGACCTCTAATAACCAATTGTTATGCGATGAAGACTCTCAGTAAGCTCCAACAAGTGAGCGGTAAGGATGTGTAATCTCTAGCAACCAATTCCGGAGACCACGTTCTATACATTATGTACCAGTGAGATTATCCAAGATCGGGGTGTGCTGCATTTATTCTCTTGGAAGAGTGTGACCCACAATCCAGAAATGTACAATGTAACACTCTGATGGTGCACATAACATGTAGTCTTGTTGTCTTATGGGGTTTCCAGTAGTCTGGGGGGTTGAAGTATGATGGTCTCTAATAATGATGTGGTGGGGTGTAATCTAGATGTGGTGTAGTATTGGTGTCATGTGGTGTAATTGGTGAGCTGTAGTATTGGTGTGTTAGGTTCTAGTATTAGTGGGCTATTGTATTGTGTGGTGAGGTGTAGTAGCCATGTAGCACGTGGTGAAGTATTGATGGTCTGTAGTACTGGTGTGGTTTTCTGTTGTATTGGTGTGGTGCAGTGCAGTAGCCATGGGCTGCTCAGTCTAATAATGCCCAGGCCTATATTTTGTCCCAGTACGGGCATGGCGTTTGCACACACACTTCATGGCTGAGAAACACAGGTAAAGAAGCCCTGAAACCATTTTTAAAAACCGTGCCACATGCCGCATGTGCAAAACATGGGTGTTTTGCCAATGCTTTGGGTTGCCATTAAGAATTAATAGCACCCCCACGTCAGCTAAAGAGCAATGTATTTTTCCTTGCAAGTCAGGAATGCACGTGATTATGCATGCGTTCCTGACTCTCATATATGTGAACCTAGGGCTATAGGGGTGCTACACAAGGATGTGTGGGGACATCTAGTGGTCACCAAAAAAAGTACAACATACATCCCATTATGTAAGTAACAATACGGCTCTACAGGCCACTAGCACAATGTCCCAAGCCATTTCTGGCACTTTTTGGTTACATTTTAAAAGCAGTATTTTGCTAGAACCCCCAAACAGAGGCCCTATAGAATAAATTGGTGTTTTTTTCCCTTTTTTTTTATGTCACACAGTATTTGCATAGTGGTTTTTCAAACACAATTTTTTGGGAAAAAATACAGTTTTTAATTTTAGTGCAAAAAACACAATGCATAACCCAATTATTTTTGTAAAATATAAAAGGTCATGTTATGCCTATTAAATAGATACCAAACATGTCATGCTTTAAAATTACGCACGCCTGTGCAACGGTGACAGACGTCGTAAATTGTACAATTCATAGGCGATTTTTAAAAGCCTTTACAGGTTGCAACTTTAGATTTACAGAGGAGATCTGGTGCTAGAATTACTACCCATGATCTGATGTTCAAGGCAATGCCTCCCATGTGTGGGATGATCTCTGTTTGCTTGCATGCGGGACTGACACTTGTGTTCTCTTTTGCGCTCGAGCACAGGGGGATGGGGGAGCACTTTGATTTATTTATTTTATTTTTTTACACTGTCCCTTTAAAAAAAATTTGATCACTTCTATTGCTGTCACAAGGACTGTAAACTTCCCTTGTGACAGCAATAGACACATTACAGGTACTCTTTATGGAGGGATCTGGGGTCTATAAGACCCCAAATCCCTCCTCTGCACTTGAAAGCATTCAAAACACCAAGATCAGTGTGTTTGAATGCTTTCAGATTCTTAAAAAATGG